ACTTGTGTGTTGGAAGTGAGTATATTCTAGCAAACTCACTTACAAGTGTTGGTGTACATATCTCATCATTTCCAAGTAGTGAAAGCATTATCGTCGTTTCCTTGACTCCACCTTCATCCAGCATTCGCTTGTAAATAGCGTAATGAACGTTGTCAATGTGAGTTGGCTTTATGCTGGTGATTTCCTCGTAAGGAATCCATTCAAGTCTTAAGCACTTATTTTCACTCTCCAAGGAGGATTGAATCAAGTTTTTAATTGCTGGATTATGAATATCACCTGGAGCGGACGACATAGTTTGAATGATTTTCCAAGCAATTTTCGGAGCATTTATTGTGTTACATCGCACACTTGTACTACCGCAAGACAATTTATCAGAAGTTTCAATGGGAAGAATTACTAGTATTTTGCATTGTGTGTATCGGACCTGGGTGTACTAGCCGTTTTGGGATTTACAGTCAACTCAGTCTATACCGGCCTTTTTTATACCGGTTTCGCCTTATACCGGTCCAATTCGCTGCACCAAAGATTATATATCATCCATTATGGCTGAATTATATACCGGTCTCTCGTTATAACGGCCAAAAACCGCCAAATCACTCACGCCGGTATAGACAGAGTTGACTGTAGTCCTTTTCCGACGGAAGCTTTTGCTCTTTCTATTTCAAACCAAATATCTATACAATTAGTGACTTTTAAACTAGGATTTATGTATATTATCGGTCTTGTATACGATGTCCCTAGATTATTGTTAACCTCGAGTATCTGCGATTTCTTTGATGGGATTACTATCGAAACGGGGAATTATATTTTATCTAAAACTACTAGTAATAATTAAACAATAACCTTGAATGCAAAGGTACTAAATAGAATTAATTGGCAAGTATTAATTCTATTTGCCGATGACAGGGAAAGCGGTTTACACTTCGCCAACAACGCTAAGTAGCTCTTATCAGGGAATATAATAAAGTTTATATTTAAGTCGGATTTTTATTAGAATAAAAGAGAACTATCCATACATAATATTTATACTATTGTTTACTTACCCCAACAACTTTACTTTTTTACAACTGGGTACAAAGTATCTCAAATTTACACAAAAAAATTCTACTGTAGATGACAACAGCACTGACAGGAAGAAGCTACATGCAATGTAATCTCTGTGCTTCCTAAATAAATAGGTAAACAGGTGGATGGTAATCATTGACTAAATAACAACTATTGGTTTTTAATCAGCTTACTAGGTGGCTGCTCTCTTTGTCTCAGCCAGTGGATGGGTGCAGATCTGGATCAGGTGGTGGGTAATTACTGGTGATCCCCTTGACTCACCATTTTCACTTGTGGTGAAGTGACCCTGGCATGGGTCTGATGAGTGAATGCCTGGAACACTCTCAGATATCTCCTCTTCTTTCCTTTTTTTTACACAGCTTTTAGATGACAGGGAGAAGATTTTGGGTGTTATTCTCTTTTTTTTCTTCTCTCCCCCCCTTTTTTTTCCACAGATGGTTTGCTGGTGACCGGATCCAATGGGGCGAGTTTGAGGGGCTGATTCAGCCACTTGTGAAAGATCTGTCCCCGCTGCTTCATTGATTTGAACGAAGTCAATGTACAATATTAACATCGTCTAATGTCTTACAATTAGTCACTCAAGATTTGTAATCTAAGGTTATTTATAACTTACTGTCTTTGTAGTAAGAGTAGATTATTGATGAGCTTTAGCAAACAAAACTAAGTGAAAGAGAATTGTGCAGTATGACGTAAAGGATGCTAGACTAGATTTAAATTAAGCTAAAATAAAACTATTATTAAAACAACTAATATTAATCTTTAGTCGAAGAATGAATGTATTAATTATAAAAGGCAATAAAATATTCGACGCGTCTTATTAAGTAATTCCTTATACTCTTCTCAGCCGCCCCTAGTAAACGAGTCTAATCAAAAATCGTAGACGATAATTTTTAATTAATTCGTAGTATATTTTATTCAATATGAATATAATAATTGTTTACTAAAATATCTCAACACATTAAAACACACTCTGACGATGGAATTTTTCGAGCGTTTTTATAAGCACTTTTTGGACCCTGTCACGAACTAAATTTTGTGTTATGTTTTCTGTAAAACCGGGGCACACTTTGATTTAAAATTTCCGTCATTTGACATCTTGGCTTTATTGTAGAAGTAGTGTGATGAGCATATGCCTAGACTCTGGACATTTCCTTTATTTTGAATCAGCCAGGAATAGTGCATGACTTATTCGAAAAGAATTCGTCAGTGGCAGATTTTGTCCGTATCGCGACTGTTCACTTTTGTGACAGGGCGCCTTTAGCATCTCACTCCGTTCTTTCCACTTCTGCAGGCGTAACCTCTCCTTACTCGTTTGGATCGAGGTATTCATGGATCAGCACTTTGGTTAAGTCTATCCCCTCCAGCGTCTGTATATCGGCTTGGGATTTCGTCGTAGGACACTGGTTGGTACCATTCCCGTATCGAATTGTTGATACGGTCAGCTTACTTAATCGAATTAATATATCCCAGTACCGACGCGCTGATTCGTTATAAAAAGTTATAACAGTCCAAGGAATTCTACAATCACGCGAAGAACTTGATCAGGATTGCTGCCATTCCCGCGCACCTTGCTTCATGAAAAAAATACACTGATTTTTGTCGATTCTCAGATTGCCGATAATACAATCGTTCGGATACTGTTGGCCGTCGAAGAGTCGTCCGTTATCGTCTCTGCTATTTCTTCCATTGGAAATATCTCCCAATCTATTGAGTTCTCGACTCCATTTCCTCGTATTTCGTCTCCTCCGGGTGTTTCGAACCAACCCGTAAAAATGCTTCCATATCCCAGGTGATATTCTCTTCCGTAGGTTCCTTATCGACAAAGTGTTGGAATTGAGTAGTATACTGAATGTTTAGAGGAGTAATTTTGGTGTTGTTAGCTTCCCTCGATTGAAGATGGGAACCACTCACACTCGGAGATCATGACCGCAACGATTAGATGTGGGTTTCGGTATTATGTGACAATGATTTATGGAGGACGTAATTATTATTGTGAACAAATTAATTTTAATACAATTGGCAAGTTTCGCAGATTTAAATGATTTGCACCGAGCTATTACAAAGTTATGGAGGGCATTGTCTATATTCAAGGGTGGATGGATAAAATTCTATGCAATATGATGTAAATTGCATCAAGTCAATAAAGTATAACTTGTACACAAGCATCGCATCGTTACTCGTAAGCAATACAACATACTCGGTTGTCAGCTAACTTAATCATATACAATTACCCGATTCTCTTGTGCATCATCGCTTTAAAGTAACAATGCCAACCATCCTCCAATAAACAATAAGCCACCAATTGGCGTTATTAGTCCCAAGTATCCAAACTTCCGTCCAGTATATACTAACAGATACAGACTTCCACTAAAGCACAGAGTTCCGTATAGCATGAGGGTTCCAGCTAGATTGTTTCTTGTGGACAGCGAGAGAGATGAAGCAAGGGTCAAGATGGCTACTGCATGGATGAGTTGATACATCACTGCTGTTTGCCATGTCTGCGATGGGTGGAGAAATAGTAATCAGTTGTAACAGTAAGAACGTAAACCATTTTGTCGTAACTTTATTCCTTTTTGATGAGCATGCTCATGTCGTCGCATTATGGACCAACAGATAAATCATTCTTCGCTTGTTATGACATATTTACCTCAATCTGGACAGAATCCGCCGTCCTTTTTAGTGCATGTCCACCTAAAACGTTTCTTCATGTTAACTAAAACAGCCATCTCCTTTCTTCAAGTTTGCGAATTTTTTAGTGAACTCACCGAATGCACCCAATCCAATACCCGAAGCACCTACAAAATCAAATAGTAACCAGATGATTCGGTAAAAAGAATGCAAACGTAAAAATACATATAAATGTAAATATGCATGCATGTATAGGAAAGTAATACCGAGAATAGCTGCCGCTTTCAATAGAGTTGCGCTTGAAAGGACACCGATCATGTTTCCTTGCAGAAGGCAATATGGGCGAATTTTTGCCGAGTGATTGGTTAAATAGTTAATAGTTTGTCGATCAAACAAATCCCGCGTAAACATTACAAAGCATGATGTAACAAGCTTTGATTGAGAGACTAAATCCATTGACTAGTAAGGATTAAGCCCGGCACCCTGAATTGTGTCTGTTACACGAGAGTGCGGGGTAAGTTGATAAATGAGAACCTATCATAATATAAAATTCACACTTCTACCTCCTTTAAGTTGAATACCTCGATTAGTTAAAGATTTGCCTCTAAATCACACATAGAATATATCTACTTTATTATCTGATAGTAAAAAACTCCGTTCAATTACGAAAAGGACAAATGGGTTATCATTGGATGCGACCTCCCAACAGAAAAAATTAAGCGAAATAAAGTACCCAAATTTCCAATCCCGGTGATATGGTTGGAGAATCCATGCAGTAAACGACAATCAGCCAGTGTCTGGCCACATCACACTTGAAAAGGTTCGTGAGTTTGCTACACGTCTTGGCATTCGCGATTTTAATGGCTCAAACGGATGGATGGAAAAATTCAAGAACCGAAATCACATTAAAAATATCGCCATGTAGGAGAGGAAAACAGTGCACCATTGGAATATCTAGAAAATTACCGGCAGAAACTAAGAGAAATCACTTCTACTTACGAATTGTGCAACATTTTTAACGCTGATAATATTGCACTATTTTGGCAAATGGGGCCAACACAAACCTTATCAGCTCGGCCTGTTTTTCTGGCACGAAAAAGTCTAAAGAACGTATCACAGCTTTTTTGACTTGTAACGCAACGGGTGAGGAAAAAGTTTCGCCTCTCTTTATTCACAAATCAAGTTTACCAGTTTGGCATTACTGGAATAAAAAAGCGTGGATGCAAAGCTCCATCTTTAACCATTATCTTAACGCAGAATAAATTCATGCAACGACAGAAACGAAATATTCTTTTGCTCGTCAATAATGCTGCTGTCACTCACTCTACATTGTCTAACATCACATTATCTTCCCCCTAATACTACGGCTCACTTGCAACAGTGCGGGGATGCCGGAATTATTTATAGTTTTAAGATAATTTTATTATTTCGAAATTATAAATCATTCTTTATCTATAAACTCACTTTAACTCATTATGTCAGACTCATTATCCTGTCAATCTCGAATCGTCGCCTACGACAAAGCAGCATCACAAATCTTATCTCACCTTCCACGCCGAAGTCATTTAATATCAAAGGTGCTATCAATTGGGTAGCTCAAGCTTGGCATAACGTATCAACTTCCACCATCTAAAATTGTTGGGACAAGACCGGAATTTCCGAGAATTGACATTGTCAAATTGCACAAGAAAGGAAATTACAGTAACGTGCAAAAGTATCCTACCGGTTGTATCATCTAAACGTACATAATAATAACTCCTTAAATTTTCC